TCCGCACCACTCTGTCCGACTAGGTCATAGGTCAAGTGAGAAGAAACCACTTCTTCTCCCATCGCCTTTGTGTTTTCCTCATCTTTTTCCGCATCCAGGATCAGCAGCTCCTCAGAGTTTTGGTGGAATCTCGGTGGAATCCGGTCAAACTGGTTGGGCAGCTTAACCATGTTTTAACACCGTAAAACCACCAAAACCGCCAAAGCCCCAACCCGAAAAGGACGGATCCGGTTCGCGTTCCGACATCTCCTTCAGGTCACCCGTGCCCTTGGAGAAGTATTGCTGCACCAACTGGAAGGCAAAAAGTCCCAACAGCGCGAGCCTCGGCTCGCCAATACCGCAACCAACTCAAACCGTCCATGACACGACGGTTTAAAGCGGCTGGAATGCTGGGTTCTTTGAACATATGACTACAGAGTACGGCCGATGGTGGTCAAAGAGGGAACGAAAAAGCTTCCAATGAAGGTTTGTTTTGGGTGATTCTCCCACCTGGTGTCCTGCATTTCCCTTCACCTGAAAACACTCCACCGGCCACCAATAGCCATCAGCTACCCCGCATTTTTGTACACATGGAACATCATGGAACTGAATTCCGATGTCCGATATCAGTTGGGAATCTCAAAAAAGTCTATAGTGTAGATTCTTGATTAATTGGAGGTTATTTATCGCCTACATTCTGACACATGATGTACAATGATGACCCTACAAGCTCTTACCCATCTATCACTCACCAACCCCACCAGCTTGCAAATTTGCACTTCTTCGACGTGCCACTCCAACCGCCGAATCCCAGCTCGGCCCCGGCACGGCATGGGGTTCGCCAGGGCTTGTTCCCAGAGCCAGTCCAGGCCCTCCGCCGGCGGGTTCACCTCGCGTGCGCGGTGCTTGGTCTCGCGTGCGCGGTGCCATTCGGCCAGTGCGACGGACACGGCCGCGCCTCCAGCATCTCTACCTCGAAGAAGAGCCCTGCATCGGGTGGAATGGCACCTGGGCGGCGACAGGTCGACGGGCGTCGACAGGCGAGAGGAGGACGAAGGTGAAGGTGACAGGTTGGTGGGGTATACATGGACAAACTGAGTTGGGGACCAAAAATGCATGGTCTGCCCTTGAACAGGAAAAAAAACTTCATAATCCATCCTTTGTATCGACGAGTGACGGGTTCAGGGGTTCCGTGCTGGAAAATGGTGTAGTGTTTCTTTTGTAGGCCATGTGGACCAAAGCCTTCCCTCCCCAAAAGTAATAAACACCGAACATGTTCTTCAAAAGCCGACCCTTGCGATGGACAAAGTTCTCATCCTCCTTCTGGCAGGCCACCCACATTTATTTCACCAAGTGAAACCTGGCTAGGGCTTCATTGCCCAGCAATACCAAGAATATATAAATACCCATATGCCTGTATATAACTACATGTTGGACAGATCGAGAGAGAGGGAATACATACATATACATCTACATACATATACAGTATACATATATACATACACCCTGACCACTACCCTGACCAACCCTCTACCCTCTTTGGAGACTCGAGGCCACTGATCGGGGCTTCCCAGTCGAAAAGCCTTAAGCAAGTCGCTTCACCAAGGACTCTCTCTGTCCAACTGCTGCGAACCATGCGAATCAACATCTTCAACATCTTCAGCATTCAGGCTGCATCTCTGGTCTTCGCATCTCTGACTCTGTCCGCCACATCCCGAGCCCTGCTCCCGCTCTGTCCTCGCCCAGGGCGCTGCCGGCGCCCTTCGATCCATAGCCGATCCTCGGGCATTTCCGGCGAGAGCGCCGGCCGGCACCGGTCGTTTGGCGTTCGGGTGGCCGGGAGAAACAGGGGTGGCCGAGAGAGAGGAAGAAAAAACAGGTGCCATGTGTGACATCAGCAGCATTTCCTGTGGGTTGACCACCAGGGCACCCATCAGCGGCACCGGAATTCTTCTAGGAAGGACGATCGACACCAGACGTAGTAATTCGCCGTCCTAAACCTTGCAAGACAAAGCACATCCACGGCTGAACAGGTGATTTCAACCTGCACAACCTTGCGGAAGAGCATCTACTTCACACTCACACTCACACTAAACTTTAAAGGAAAATGATAAGGTCCTGGATCATCCTGGAAAAGGACAAGGTTTTATTGCATCACCACAATTTGCGCGGGAACATCAACGGTCCACCTCTCTGCGTGTGTGTACGCGTGTCTGGAATTGTATATCTACATATCTATATCCAAACTTTAAACACACATATTATATATATATATCTATCTCTGTGTGTGTGTGTGTGTCAATGTATACACTATGATGCGAACTCCAGCTCGCTGCCCCGGCCACATCTACAAAATATAGTCATGACATGTCATGAATTGCTTGTCATTACTATTCATGACTAATGTAGACTCTGGATTCATAAAACCCCCCACATGTGCACCCCAAACACCTCTTAATATTAGGATAATGTTGAAAACAATTGACAATATAATGCATGAGTCTACCTTCGCGGAAGCACCCAAATCTTTAGAGGTCCAGTTCTTCCACGTCTTAGTCTCCGCCGGGTCACGCGCTGGGGACCCAAATCTTCCAGGTGTCTCCTGGCCTCATCCTGCACGGCGCGGTTGATGCCGGCTGACTTGCGGCTGTCAGTAAAAAGTGGTCTGAAAGGCAGGTGAAGCAAAGAGAAAATTAGTGGATGGATGGGGGGTAGAAAAGAGGAGTCATAGCATTAATCATGAATGCCCAAAAGCAGGGATAAGCAGAGGCACAATGATACTTCTTTGAGATCTTTGGGTTAACAATCTCCCTACTAGTAGACACTGTCTTTTCCCAACCATGCACCACTACGGGACATGTGCCCCCGAGACCGCTTGACGATGCTCAATGATGAAAAACCAATGGGATCATGTGGATCACGTGGGTGTCTCACTGGAATCAGACTCCATTTTGGCCCATGAGACGGAGGTGATTCCTGCGACAGCAGGTGCCACAAGTCACATGATCACATGACAGCAGGTGGCTGGGGCGCCCTGGCATCAGCAAGGCCTTGCGAGCGCGCCACAGTTTGTTGGCCCTTGCTGAGGAGGATTCAACCACTATGCGGCTAGGAGGAGGTGACCTGAGTAGCTTCTCTGGGTGCCAATGTCAACCGCTCTATGGTCTATGGGTGAGCCATCTGCTGTGAACTTTGAACCTACTGGGCGAAACTCCAGAAGGGGTAAAGTCAATTGTAAACTTGGTATGTAGGTGAGACACTATACCCGCTGGCGGTTGAGGTTCAGCTCTCGCTGTTCTGAGAACGTTAACCACAAATTGACGGGAAAACTAGCCTTTAACTCGCTCATTTGTCACGAACATCCAATCAAATCCACCACCCAATGCAAGAGTCTCCGGAAATCTTGTGCTACATTCCACCTAAGCAAGTACTGGGCGTACTAGCGGCGTACCAGCCCGGGTTGCCCACTTCCAATTCGTACAATGGCAACACCTCCAACGCAAGGATTTGCATCGAGAAACCATGAGAAACCTCTCTAGGCACAAACACTTGGGGCAGTTCATGGCAGCTCTATGGCACTTGCATCCCTGCTTCCATGGAGGTTCAGGTGGCTCTTGGAATGCAAGATCAACGATCCGCCGGATCGACGCCCCTGGTTCAAACCCTACACGTCGAGGCCTCCTTGAATCCAGGCATCAGCGAGGCAGGCTTGAAACGCGCGGGTGTGTTGCGCTTGTAAGAGCTGTCAAACCTCCGCGCAGTCCGTGCAGTTCCGGAGTCTTGTGGAGTCCTTGTCGGGCGTTCCCGCGATTTGCAACTGTAAGAAGAACTTCAACATGCTTCAACCATGAGACTAGAATTTAACCACGGGGAAAAATGGTTATTGAACCACGAGGGCTGTGATTAAACCACGACGGGTCGACCTGTTTCTTCAACCAACACGCTGATGTTGGGAGGGTTTTGGGCTACGGGTACCACAGAAGATTCTCGTCCGCACGCCAACAGCCCGTGACAGTGATCAATGTTCAAAGGCCACTTGATACCCAGCCTTTAACGGGTTGGTGAAATAGACACCCTATGTCAGTTTAGGTCACATTCACCTAGGTCCTCGCACAGAGCGAGGAAGGCCAGGAGCCACCCAATTCTCTGAGAATCCAGGCTGTTGTGTCGGTGCCCTGCTTGGGGTCTCCAGCATGAATGGAAAAGCCTACAACTCAATGAAGAGGTATATACGTGCACCGTGAACATAGGTGAACCCTGCAGTTCCTATGGTTCTCCAACTCAGCTGTGGTTTTTCAGAGGCAAAATTGTGCAGGAAGCCCACTGGTGGAATTTGATTGATACCATGTTCTCCGATTTCTCCATCTCCTCTGGCCCCTACCCCATCGAACGGCGCCCCTCCCTTGAAGCAGCCCACTCCGTGCCGTTCAGCAAGGTGCCGCGGTAGTGGAGCACCTCAGAGCGACGGCAGCGACGGTGCCTCCGCTAGTCGGAAGCACCGGGTGCGGTGCGCCTTCTTCGGGGCGTCTGGAACCGCCTTTTTTGAAAGACGACGGGGATGGGTTGGAACTTGGAACGACATGGGATGAGTGTTTGAAGTCTTAGCGGTGCGGCCAAGTGAACCCTCCATCTTTCACAGGTTTGCGGCTCTCCCCTGCTACTTCTCCCTTGCCCTGGAGAGGAAGGATACAGTAGCCATTGGATAGAACATGATAGAACAATCAGCCTGCCTGGATGGTTACACATTTCCGCGGGGTTGTATCAATCAAATGGCCCAAAAATGGAATTCTCCTGACCTCTCCAGGCGCTTAGTGGAAGGCCAAAGAGCTCGCTCAGAGGCTCTTCAAGTGGCTTAGGATCGCTTAGGCCGGGATGGCGCATCCATTCACCGGCCTCTACACCAGCCGTGGTTCTGACATCACTTTAGGAGGCTTTACAGTAGGAACACCTTCCTTTTTGAGTGGGACGTCCACCGGCCCTCACCCACCGCGCAGAGCAAACGCCCCGTCGGCTTCTTTTCCGCGCGCTCGCGGCGCGGACCCGACGCGTCGGTCATGTCTTCGCCTGGGCCACGTCCAAGTACGAGGACTGGCAATTAAGCTGTGCTTGGAATGACCCCCACAAAAACACAAAAAAATAAAAATAAACGAAATTGTTGTCTTCCCATCTTTTCATGCCAAGAGATGCATCATGGTCCTTCGGCAACTGACCTTGTCACCTTTTTTGAGCCCGCGTTTTGGCTCCTTCCCGAAACGACCTGCACACACACCACCTCTTTCGGGTTACACGTCCAGCCAGGCTAATGTAGACTCTTGATGAATATTAAATTCATGCACCGCCCCCGATGTTTTGCTTCAAAAACCTCTTCATATGGGGTGGTTTATTTACTCAAGAGTCTGGCTCTTTACCGCCCACAGAGCCCGGCATCGCCGGGTGCGAGCAGAGCACCGCGGCCTTCTTCGTCCCTTTGGCCCCGGCGGTGCGCTTGCCTCCGCGGTTGGAGGTCGGAAGAAAAGGCATGTGGAAGGTGATGGGAAGGCACCGTTCGCGCAGGTGGGCGGCAAGAAAGTGAAGGGGTAGGGGAAAAGAATTGCAAATCACGATGCTCTGCTGGGCTTGTTGCTGGCGTGCACCACCCTTCAACCACTGCACAGGGCGGACCTTTTTTCAGAATGCCTTTGGGCAAGCTGGGCTCGGCAAAGGACAGGCCGGGCGACTTCGGCGAGAGAATGGGAGACCTCGGCGAACCACTCCCAGGACCGGTCGCCGAACATGCGTCCCGAGCTGGTGGCGAGATGATCCTCAAAGGATCCTCAAGTGCCCAGAAAGGGACTCCCAATTCAGAAACAAAATGAAACAAACAAAATCAAATAGCTCACGCTGAACATCGCAGGCGCTTCCGAAGTCGAAGCATGGGCCTCCGGAAGACAATTCTCCGCAAGCAGCCCCGGGAATGGTGGAATGCGCCAAGGGCCCACCGGATCTCCGTTCACTGAACTTTCACCGTTTTTCAGCATGTTTCGGCCCTTCTTCTTTCCCTATTCCTCCTCTTTCTCCTCTTTCTCCGCCACGCGGCTGTGGCGACACCTTCGGACTCCCCGAGTGGGCCGTGGCCAGCGCCGCCTTGGGCAGCGCCGCCAGGAAGCTGCCGCGGAAGTCGCGCTCCTCGCGGGGCACGGCCTGCGGAGGCGCTGGAGGAGCCCCACTCACGGCTGAGCCCCGCTATGGGGCTACGGGCTACTTCTCATAGAGCGACTTCTTGCGAGGATCTGGCACCGGCTTTGGACTCCAAACACAGCGACCCGGAGACTTGGAGGCCTCTGAAAAGGGCCCGAGAAAAAAGACGTATACTATATAATATGGTATAATATAAAACTTAAAAATAACACGACTTCATAATATAATATATGTATATTACATGTAATATATGTATGTGTGTGCGTGATATGATTATATGATCATATATATATGTGTGTGATATTTATTTAACCGACCACTCTCTCTCTCTCTCTCTCTCTGGGACAAGTATCTTACCATGGATCAGAAGTGTTGATTGATCGGTGTCTCCCAGCGATGGTTCAGTGCTCAATGGGGATCAACGAAGGGTAGGAACCTGAGATACAGGTTCCTGAGCTCAGCCTTTGAACCCAGGTCTTTAAAACGATCATGTTGACATTGCTCGCATGGTCTTGTGACATTGTGCTTCTTGTAAGGATCCTAAGAAACATACATACATAACCTTCATGCCAAAAGCACAAACAGTCAAAACTAAACTGCAAAACTCAAGCACGGTCACAACATGTCACAAGTCATTCTCCATCTCATTCGATCTCAGTGTGGGATCCATTCCTTCAAAGACGGACACAGACTTTTGGTCTTTTGCAAGACGGACCAGTGACGCTGTGGCCTGGCAGTATCCCATCCAGGCTTTCAGCAGTTGCTTCTCCCAGTCCTGGCGTGAGCGGTTCACGCCACCGTGGCATGGAGGGATTGTGTGATCCAATGGGAGATGCTGAGCAGGCGGGCTCAACGAGGTCACGTGTAGAAGGCCCCAAAAATACACACGGTGCCCTCGATCACTCTTTTGCCCGGCCTTCTTGTTTGGGATGGAGGGCGGGTCGAGCTGGTCTCGCAGCCTGATGTGTGACAAGGCAAACCCTACATGCCACCAACAAGAGGCAGCTACGTTCAAAGTCTTCCATGCCGCGAAAGTCCCATGCTTGAAGCGGCCTGATGATGAAATCGCCGTTCTTCTCAGTCACCAACCTCTGAATGCAAATGAATGGGGTCATGCGACGGTGCTCCTGTGGATGTCCGACCCAACCCATGTGGCTCGGACGAGTGCTTGCTTTCGCCAACAGGAAGGGTAGGGAAAAATGGGCTCTTGCACCTCTTTCTCCAGTGGTCCAACGACTGGAGGATTAAGAAGTGAAAACCTTGGCATGTTGGGACATCCCCCTATAAAAGGGTTAGCCCTACTCATGCATTTCATAATTAGAGGAAATCCTTTTCTTGGGATGTTGGGACTCTTTCTGGATGGAGGGGGGCCCCCGGTCGATGGAAGACCGGCCCGGCAGACGGGCCCCACGGATGTGCCTGCTCGAGGGTCCAGAAAAGGTGTATGCAAATGTTCTGGTATCGGTTTTGGATGGTTTTGGTGTGGTTGTTTTGTATCAGGTGGTCGTGGACAATGGCAGTTCTTTGAGCTACAGCATGCGAAACGCCATGGGTTCATCTACAATGCCAATGTGAAGGGCCTTCCTCTCCCAGTCATGAGCTGGTCATCGATGGTCCTCGTTTTCCACCAGTGGGCCACTTCCTTCCTCTGCGGGGCCAAACGTCGAGCTGTCGCGTCCCGTAACTTCCGCGTCGTCCGAGAGGCACAAAGTCTTCCGCATGTTCCTTCAGGAACCTCAGAGGTCGACATCTCTTGACGAGGGGCGATGACGAGAGGGGGAATGGAGGGGGGAACCACACCCGAGAAGGACCAGTTTTTTCGAATGCGGCGCTGCACCTGACAACGGGATCTGTGTGCATCGTGAAAGTGATGCAGGCAACTCCGACAGTTCATCAATTGGTGCCCCATTCGCTCGACCAGAACCTCCTCCCGGGAATTTGTGCACAGTGACGACTTTCTCTGTTCTGCCCAGCTGCTGCTTGTATGGACCCAAGACCGGTTTGTACTTCTCTGCCCAGTCCGCTGGCACGAAGGGACAGCCTGCCTTCTGCATCCCTGCCTGGGTCACGCCCTGCCTGCACGATGCGCAAACAAGAGCTCTCCAGGAATTCCACCGTGTCCGTCTAAGGCGTAAGAAAAGTGGGTCATCCCGGTCATCCCAAGAGCCTGGCTTATGACATCTTATGACTGGAGTGTCTGAAACAGAGTAGGTTTGTGAAGGTGTCCAATTATCGGTAATTATCGCTGACGATGCGTCTCCATACGTCTTCATGCGTCTTCGTCGATAATTGGAGCCCCTCTGTCGCCAACAATGTAAAATCAACCCCTTTCCTTCGCATGGGAGCACCTCCAGCGTGCGCAAGATGTGTGAGAGGGTGCGTGCACACAAAAATACGGTGCAGAACTGTTACAGAATCCTAGAACATTTCATTGAAACTACAAGTGCGCTGGGGGGATCACAGGATACCCCCTCATCCTGGTTCTCCACCGTGGCCTGATCTCAGCAACGGCGGCCTTGGCCATCGTCTCCCGCTCCTCCGGTGAGACCTGCGAACATGACAGAGCCAACCACGCGCCACGGCAGTGTGCGCTGCTGACAGTTGGCGTCCAAGACCACCCGAATCGAGCGCAGTCCAAAGACTGAGCCACCCCGTCGAAGCGCTACGGACAACAATCAAACTGCACCGGAGCAACTGGTTTTCGACATGTTTTCACTGGTTACTCTTGTGTACCCAAACTCTGTCATCCCATCATCCACGACCCATGGGGCTGGGAATGTCACGCCCGGGATGGGAACACGAGATCGAACTGTCGCACCACTGGACCTCACTGTACCGATTCTTTTCTGGATGGACACCCCATCCTGACAGCAGTCATCCTTGAAGCGAGTTTCAAGGATTGAGGCCCAGTAGAATATGGCACACATTTTGAGGAAAAAAAGTCATCTTCTTATGGATTGCATTGCCTTTGTTCCCCTCCTGGCGATGGCACTCCACATGGCTCCGGACCACCTCCGACGCCACCTGCTCACCTCCACAGCTTCCTCTTCGGCCTGGGGCAGTTCGCGGCTCGCCGCGAAAGGATCGCCGGTCAGTCGAAGCCCTCAGAAATCAATCTTCTTGGATGAAAGAGTACCACCCTTCGCATGTGAGCGAGTTTGCCCTTTGAAACCTGAAGGAGGATACGAACACTCAATCAAAGCTGCATTGAAGACTTCAACCAAACAGGCACTCTCTGGGCAAACTGCGAAAAAGGCCAACGAAGTGTGGATCCGCGTCCTCCGCGTCGATCCGTGTGAAGCTGCCGCTGTCCGTTCCGGTCCGTCGGACTCCGTCCCAGCCCCGCCAGCAGGAAGATCGCAAGCCGCGTGCTCTTTGCTCTCTTGGCTTTCCGAAGTCATGCGAGTATGAAGTATTAAGGCAACTCTCCTCCCAAGCCCAACGGCCACTCCGTCGTGATTCGAATCATCAAGTTCGTGAACCACCCAAGAAAAAAAAGAAACGATGTCAACAGGTAGGAATTAGATTCATGATGATTCATGGTTCTCTCTAGATTGCATCCGATTTCCAGCCTTCTCTTTCTTCTTCGCCTTGTCTTTCTTGCCTTTCTTCCCTTCAGGCTCACTCTCCACCTTCCTGAATTGCGTCGGCCGAGTCGAGTCCCGACGGCACGGGTCACGGCCACACGGTTCACCCTTTCTCGGAACCAGAGAAGACCACCCGTCTTCCAAAAACCAAGCACAGCCATCCAAACCGTTCGGAACGGAAAATGGCAACTCCAAAAACCCCTTCCACATACGTTTTTGAAGGTTTTTCACGGAGGACCCAGAAGAAAAAGAAGGAAGGACGACGGGAGTGTGCACCAGGCCGGTGGTGCCATCAACGCAACGGGAAGGCGTTGAGCGTTGCAGCGACAAAATGGTCGCGTTGATTTGCTTTGCCTGCTGGTGGCATCGTCATGCATGCTGCCAAACTGTCCGCTTTGCCCTCCAAGGCTTCCTTTCTACAGATTCTGGGGTGAGATGCAGCCCAACCTTCCCAAACAACAAATCTTGGGGTCGAACTGCTTCAAGGCCCTCTTCTTTTGGGCCTCGCATCGAACGTACCACGACAGGCAAATCTGCTGGCACTGGTTACCTCATAATGAACATCTGAGGATCAAAAAGGATCAAAAGGCTTAACCCCCAGCCACCCAAGTATCCTTGGCAACGAGTGAATTCCATACCTCGATAAGGATACTTTAGCCAATCTGAACCCGGCAAACCGGCACCTTTGAAAGCGCTTGTTTTGCTAGGTCGTTCGTCCAAACAGCGGGTACAGTAAGGGAAGTAACTAGTAACGGAAAACCATCCCCTGCAACTCACCAAAGGTCAAACCTTGCAAAGCTGCGCCCTGCCTTCTTCATGGCCTACATCGGCATCATGTGCTACGTGGGCATCTTGAACACCAAAGGCTGCAACATGCCGCGGGCAAGAACCCTTCAACTGCTGGCGATGTGGCTGCACCCACTGCATGCAACCTGGAACCAACAAACCGAGTATATACTTTTTTTGTCGTTGCCGGTGCCGGTGCCGGTGCCGGATGCCGGTGCCGGTGGCCGGTGGCTGGCACCGTTGCCGGCAGCCGCTGCCGGTGCGGGAGACGGTGGCCGGCGCCGGTGCCGGTGGCCGGTGCCGGTGACCGGTGTCGGTCTGTCTGTGTCCGTCTGTCTGTCCTATCTATCTATGTGTCTATCAATCTATCTATCATTCTACCTTTCTATCTATCTATCTATCTATCTAACTTTATTTATCTGTCCATCTATCTATCTATCTATCTATTTATCGGTCTATCTATCTGTCAAAGCTGATCTAATCCAACCTAACCTGGGCTAATCTCATTTAATCTATTGTAATTGTCTTTCTTTATAGAAGTATCTTTCTTTGTGTCTCTATTTGTATTGTTTCTATATCTTGATGCGTCCTAACTGTACATATGCATTTTGCTCTTTTTAGCACATGACAGTCGAAATGTATGATCGCTGCTGGGCAGCCGTACCCGATTGCTTAAGACAAGTTGATATTTACCGCTGCCCTGTTGCCGATTCCCGGCGCGCTGGTCCGGTACACCGTGGCTGGTGGCGGGCGCCGGTGGCTGCGCGGGTGGCCGGTACCGGCGCCGGTGCCCGGCAGCCGCTACCGGCGCTGGTGCCGGAGACGGTGGCCGGCGTCGTCTGTCTGTCTCTGTCTGCTTGTCCTATCTGTCTGTCAATCAATCAATCAATCAATCAACCAACCAAATCAAATCAAATCAAATCAAATCAGTCAATCAATCAATCAATCAAATCAATCAATCAATCAATCAATCAATCAATCAATCAGTCAATCAAATCAATCAATCAAATCAAATCAAGTCAAATCAAAATCAAATCAAACCAATCAAAGCAAAGCGAAATCAAATCAAAACAAAACAAATCAAATCAAAGCAAAATCAAATCAAAATCAAATCAAATCAAAATCAAAATCAAATCAAATCAATCAATCAATCAACCAATCAATAATCTATCTACCTATCTATCTATCCGTCTATCTATCTATCTTTCTATCTATCTCTCTATCTATCAATCATCTGTCTATCTATCTATCCATCCATCCATCCATCTATCTATCCATCTAATTAATCTAATCCTATTTAATCTAATCTAATCTAACCTAATCTAATCATATATCTATCTATCTATCTATCCATCGTTATCGATTTATCGATCTATCTTTCTACCTCTCTATCTATCTATCGACCTATCTATCTGTCTAACTAACTAACTAATCTATCTACGTGTCTGTCTGTCCATCAAACTATCTTTCCATCTGTCTATCTATCGATCTATCGATCTATCTACCTTTTCTATCTATCTATCTACCTATCTATCTATGTATAAATATATGTGCATCTATCTGTCATGGCTGCTCCAATGACCATATAAACAGAATCTACGCGAATGGATTTTCTGATTGGGTCGACAAAAGGTACTTCCGTATACCCATCGCCTTTATAGTTGTAACCAGTTCTGCAGATAACCAACAGAGCCATCGGGGCCCCGGCTGCTCTTGATGGGAGTCTCCGGTTGTCGCTGAGCATGGCACGCCTTGGCGCAAGGAAGAAAGCAAAAGCTCGGCTCAGATTCGAATTACCCGCCACAAATTCCTGCCCTATGTTGCTAGAACTTTGCAAAGGCATGCTTCATGTTGAATCTGACGCCCACTCAGTCTCTGAATGTTAGAATGAGGGAAAGACAAGAAAAGCAAGGGGCGCTAAACTCAAGACACCCGCAAGTGACGCAAAGAGCGATGGAGCAAGCTTACATCATTACAGCGCGCAGCAGCCCCTTCCAGTAGGCATGTGCTCTACCTTTCTCTTCTCCGGAGGTTCTAAGATCGGCCATGGGGAGGCGTTGGCGGCGCAGCCGTGGCACTATCGCTGCAGGGGCCTCAAGCAAATGCACAACGCACGTCCTGATATGACGCAAACGAGAAGAGAACCTTGCTTGTGAAGCCAAGAGGCTGGAAGGGCTGGTTGCGTGAGCCTGGGCGGGCGGGCTTTGGCCTCTTGGGAGGACAGCTGGCCCGACCCCGCTGCACGCTGCGATCCCAGATTGCAGACATGCGGTTCCTCTCACGCAAGCACCGCTGCACCTGTTGGATTTGACGGTCAGGGGAGATTTAGAAATGCAGCCAGATTTGTGGCAAGCTTTGCTACAAAAAACACTTAAAGGCCCATAGCTGCTGAAGTCTTCGCCAAGCCATCCGCGTCGCTGTCGGCAGACGGTGGTGTAGGGGGCAGAGTGATGCGTCTCTTCCGCCCGTCTTCACGACGCATAGTGTTGCTCCCTTGCACCATGGCGCGTGCAGACGGCAGATGTTCAAAGAAAACAACACAGCAAGTGAGACTGCCGTTCTTACAGAGTTTGTGCGATTTTCTGGTCAATGTGCGTGTATTCTCCCTACGGAAGCCATGGAGGAATTTGTGTGCACGCAGTAGCCGGACAATCATTTGTCCATCTCCTCCCGTTTCTACAGAGCTTGTCGTCAACTTGCGCGTTTCGAGGTACAAGTTCCACGTTGAAGCTAGCTGTGTGGTTCCTTGGAACATGCGGTAACCATACGAAGCAGGATGCAGTTGCCATTGTTCCCTAAAGAAAAAACATTCCTGCCCTGAAAGGTTGTTCAACAACGTCGTGTCACCAAGGCAATATCACAAGCCAAGCTAGCATTGTGATACCCAGACCTGCCTTAGGGTTGGACCGCTGTTGGCCACTGGGGATGGCCTTGGTGCAGAGCACAGAGAGCAGTGGGTTCGCGCCTGCCCTATCTAACCTAACCTATTTAGCTATCTATCGATTGATCTATCTATCTATCTATCTATCTATACTTCTATCTATCCAACCTAACTACTCTATATTTCTATCTAAATTTCAATCTAACCTAACTAATCTTTCTATCTATCTATGTGTCTATCTATATATTATCTATCTCTATCTATCTGTCTATCTCCATCTCTATCTATCTAATCTATTTATCTGTTTATCTACATCTAAATCTATTATATCTATCTATCTATCTATCTATCTATCTATCTATCTATATATCTCTACTTCTATCTATCTATCTACCTATATTTATATATCTATCTATCTATCTATCTATCTATCTATATATCTCTACTTCTATCTATCTATCTACCTATATTTATATATCTATCTATCTATCTATCTATCTGATCTCTCTACCTATCTATCTATCTATCTATCTATCTTTCTATCTTCCTACCTACCTACCTACCTATCTAACTATCAAGCCTAATCTAATCTAACCTAACCTGGCCTAATCTCAGTTAATCTATTGTAATCTAAACTGTCTGTCTATCTTTATCTATCTTTCTTTGTGTATCTATTTATATCTTTTCTGTATCTTTGTTGAGTCTTAATTGTACATATGCGTTTGCTCTTTTTATCACACGACAGTCCAAAGGTATGATCGCTGCTGGGCAGCCGTGCCCGATTACTCAAGGCGAGTTGACATTTACCGCTGCCCTGTTGCTGATTTCCGGTGCGCGGTGCGCGGGTCCGGTATACTGTGGCCGGTGGCGGGCACCGGTTTGTTACCGGTGCCGGTGGCTCGTGCCGGTGGCTGGCGGCGGTCACCGATGGCCGGCGCCGGTGGTGCCGGTGGCCGGCCGGTTGCCGGCGCCGGTGCCGGTTGCCGGCGCCGGTTGCCGGTGCCCGGCGCCGGTTGCCGGCCGGTTGCCGGTGCCGGTGCCGGTTGCCGGCGCCGGTTGCCGGTACACAAAAAATGTGTATTATGAACAAACCCCCGACCACAGTGGTTTTTGTCCTGCGCCACCACCGTCCAAGCAAGGAGGGCACGCCGTTTCGGAAGCTTTCATCCAGACCACTTGGGTGTGCTGACAGGTGCTTTGGACTGATCCCGGTCCCCAATGGAGCTTGTTTCCCCCCAAGATCTCCCCGTCCAGCACTCTGCGCAGTGCGCGTGTGCAGAATCTGCACTGCTCTGCTCTCCAGCTCTCCCACTCCGGCCAAGGGGAGCACGCACGTGGATTGGAGATCTGGATTTGGGCCCTCCACCGGACCACTCTTCACCACCTGGAGGAGTCGTCGACAGCACGGCGAAGGCTGCAGCCGTTGGATCGTTCACGCCATGGATTGGAGTTGACGTGCCGCACGGGCCTTGGAAAGTGCCGCCAATGTCTCCTCCAGTTCTACAACACGTTCTTGCCAGTGAGAAGAGGGTCCCCAAGAAACTCTCTCCATCGGCACTCGACAGCGACACAAACCAGCAACCAATCAGCCAGCCAGCCAGCCAGCTAACCAACCAATCAACCCAGCCAACTCAACAACAACCAGACCACCAACCAGGCAACCAACCACTCTGCACACTAGATCAACCTACATAGCTGCCCGACCTCCAGCCACAGCACTCCCCTTCAGACTCCGATCTCAGCGCCTCGTACTGCAACCCGGAGGCGGTCTCCGTCACCTCATCTCGCCTCGAGTCGCCGCGCCGCGGGTCACTCCGCGGTGGAAACCGTGACCACCCAGCGAAAGCCCGCTGAGGCACGGACAGGCGGTTCTCCTTGGCGTGTGGCGATGAAGAACCCAGACCATGCATGTATGGCAGATTGACCCCTGAAGCCCTGTAGGTACAGATGCCATGCAAGGATTGTCTGGGACTGGGAAATGAAGAAAAGCAGGTGGAGGAGAGGTCCAACTTCGTCACCCTCCTCGTCCCATCCCCTCTGAACGCCCAGCCTTCGGAGGGAGGACTTTGACGGATTTGGAGGGATTCGCTGATTGGGTCTCTATCGGGCTGTCGCGGGCGCCGAGCCCCTCGATGGTCACACAGCGCTTAGGAGGAAGGAGGCAATCGGTAAACAACCTGACCGCGTTCGTGGGAAGTGGA